GGGGGGGGGGGAGGGAGGATGAGAGAGGGAAAGGTAAGGGTAAGGGTAGGTAGGTAGTAGTGAGAAAAGTGCCATCCCATAATACCAAACAACGACCAAACCAAGCGACGGATACCCATACAACATCATACCCATACCCATGTTTATACCCATATCCATGCCATACTCATTCTCATACCCACATCCAGACCGATACCCACAATCCACAATCCATGTCCATGGCCATACCCATACACCCATACCCTATCTTCCTTACCTTGTCAATCCCGGCAGCTAGGTCGAGGTTAGTCTGGGAGGTAGAGTGAGGGTGAGGTAGAGTTGTGTGGTAGAGAGGAAGGAACGGCGAAGTAGTGTGAGTGTATGTGAAGAGTATGGGGAGCGTATGGTAGTTAGGGGGGTGCAGGTACTGTATTAGCCAGTAGAGCAAGCTTATAGGGCGTAGTAGGCAGGTGTGAGCCGCAAGATTAATGCACGCATTCACGCAGAGTACGGCCACTATGCACGCCCTCTACAGGTCCAGTACGACACCAGTACGACACCAGTACTATGACACTACATGGACTCTAGAACTCTGATACCCCCCCGCTGGAACATACAGTAGCATAGTTTATGGTATAACTTGGTACTGTACACATGTATGGCATGGCAGGTGGGCAGGGGAGATCGACGGTCGTTTTGGAATGGGAACGTGGTTGTGGATCCAGCCCAGCGGGCGAGGCGAGGGACAATGTACCGTAGCGTCGTTTGCCGTACACCATGCACACACAGTACAGTACTCCGGACCAGTAGAGGTGCTTACCGAGCGGGGCTACGGTCGCTTATACCCTGGAACATCCTGGGCCCATGCAGCCCATGCATGCACTCGCGCCCGTTATCGCCTAGCGCACTAGTGCCTCGTCTGTCCATCTGTCCCATCTGTCCCAAGATTGCCTTCCTTGCGAAGATGTGTACATTGGGGATGTATAGAGGTTGCTAGCACTGCTAACACTAATACTACTAATTTAGTACTAGAGTACTAACACTA